GTGGCAGGAAGGCAACCCTCTCCCCCAACTACACACAGGCGCACACACACACACACACACACACACACACACACGAGTGGGCCGGGCACCAGCTCACGTGCCCCCTCTCCTCCCGTCTCCTCAGAGGGTCCGGTGCCCTCACGGAGGGGCCCAGCTGACCCCATGGAATTTCGGGGTCCCCCCGCCCCACTTCACAGAGGAGCTCTCAGCGGTCCGGACGGTAAAGGGGCCCGAGGGAGGGCCCCCAGAGGCGGTGCCCAGGCGTGGCTGGTGGCCCCGGGTCCTCCGGCTCCGGGCCCGGGACCCCAGACCGGCCGGCGCTGCAGCCGAGGGCGCCGCGGGGAGCGCGCAGGCAGCGGGCCCGGCCAAACCACAGGCATGTTATGAGACGCTTCCTGTTGTGGAGACATTTCTGCGGGATCGGGATCGCGGCCCCGCTTGCTCCCCCGAGCCTCCTGCCTCCCTGCTCCCCCTGGGTCTCTGCCCTGACTAACTTCTCTCTGCGTCTCTGTCTCTGCCTGTCTCTCTCCGACCCCGTCTCTGCCACCGCACAGGTGAACAGCGTTTCTTGCTCCCTCTCTCCCTCTCAGGGGTCCATCCTGGGAGTCCCTGAGGCCCTCCTCGGCCCTGGCAGCCCCCGGACGCCCCCTCAAGCACAGCGACTTAGCAGTTGGGTGATCGTGGGCAAGTGAATTAACCTCTCTGAACCTCGGTGTCCTCCTCTGTGAAAGGATTAACAGGCGCTCTGAGCCGACAGCACCCCCAGGTGCTGCCCTGTCCTGCTCCCCTGATGGCCGGGAAGTTCTGCCTTCGGTCTAACCTCAGTCCCTCCTGCTGTAAAGCAGCATCTCCCCAGCCCTTACAAAACTCCGGTGGACTTGCTGCCCAAGGCCAGGACCTTGTGAAAGTTCCCTAAAATCAGCTTTCAGGCCTTCTAGGCTTTTCTCAGACTACTTCTGAGGTGAAGCTGACCAGGGTCACATGGCCTGCTCAGGACCAGGATGGAATTATGGATCTTGGAGAGAAACAGAGACACTGCCCGCCTTGCCCGCTGGGCATGATGCCCGCCCACAAATGCCTAACTGGGCCGCTCCAGACTTCTCCAGGGTTCCTGAGCCTCCCAGCTTGGGAAATTGGAGACCTTTTCCCGCCATCCTTTACCGAGTCTCAGCTGAAGGAGGTCCTGTCTCCCACTCAAGGCCCAGGCCCCTCCAAACCTCTTTCTCAGGGGCCACTCGCTGTCCAGGGTGCCTCCCCCCCACCTCCCGTCCCGTCTCCAGCCCCTCCAGCCCATGTCCTCACAGGCCTAACTCCTACCCCGGCCTCAGCCACCTCATCTCTTTCCAGCCCTTCTCAGCCAAGCTTCTTGAAAGGCCTGTCTTTACGCCTCAGTCCCACTCGGGCTCACCGCACCCTCTGACCCTGGTGCTTCCTTCTCTCCAACACTGAATTCACGGGGGCCCTGCTCCTCCTTCCTGGGAAGGTTCCTCTGGAACTCCCGTCTGCCTGCCTCTGTGCAGACCCAGGCTTGCCCCAGGGCGCTGGCTCGGGCCTCCTCTCTCCCATCTCCACGTTCCTCCTGCACTTGCAGCTCACACTCATCCCACCACCAGGGACCCCCACCCCCTCTGGCTGGGCTGCCACCACAGGTGCCCAGGCCAGAAACGGCGTCACTTCTGACCTTACCCGGCAGTAAGGAGTCCCTCTGCCTACGTACCCCCTTAGCACACTCAGAAAAGGCCGCTCTGCCTCCTGCCCGCTCAGCCCCACTCGCGGCCTTTCCCGCGTGTCCTTCTACGTGACAGCCCCGCTCCTTCACCCTCCCCCCCAACCCAACCTGTCTCCCCCACGTCTCTCACTTCTGTTCCTTCTCCTCTTCCCCGCAGTCTGCCTTCATACAGACCTGCACTGTCCCAACCCGCAGCCAGAGCCTGGCCCTCCCCCCACGCCATGAAGATTGTTCAATGAAATGGCCCAGTCCTCACCCGGCCTGTCAGAGCAGCCCGTCTCCTACCCCTCGCCCTCGGCGTCGCTGTTCTCCCTGACACACCCTGTAGGTACTGCAGCCTCGCTTCTCAAACTCCAGCGTGCACAAGACCGTTGGCTGTTTTTGGTTTTGTTAATCCTCGCCCCAGGATATTCTTTCCATTGATTTTTAGAGGGAGTGGAAGAGAGGGAGGAAGGGGGAGAGAGAGAAACATCGATGTGAGAGAGACACATCAATCGGTTGCTTCCCACATGCGCCCAGACCGGGGCCAGGGATTAAACCTGCAACCCAGGCACATGCCCCTGACCAGGAATTGAACCCCGTGACCCTGCCCACTGAGGCACAGTGGCCCGGGCGCAGCAGACAGTTTTTTGAAACACAGGTTCTTAAGCGCCACCAGCCTCAGGGGTCCTGTTCAGTGGGTGTGGGGCAGGGCCCAACACCTGCATCTCTCACAGCTCTGGCCGCCTGTCTGTGGGCCTCACTCTGGCACCGCTCTGCCAGGGCCTCGCCTGCTCTGGATCCTCCAGTGGCTGCCTGATACCAACACAGTAAATCCCATGTTGTGCTCTGACTGGTTTGGCTCAGTGGATAGAGCATGCGCCTGTAGACTGAAGGGTCCCAGGTTCAATTCCAGTCAAGGGCATGTACCTTGGTCGCGGGCACATCCCCAGTAGTGGGTGTGCGGAGGTCAGCTGATCCATGTTTCTCTCTCATGGATGTTTCTAACTCTCTATCCCTCTCCCTTCCTCTCTGTAATAAATAAATAAAATATATATTTTTTTAAAAAAATTCCATGTTGTTCTTCGGTGGCTCCCTGGAGGAGGAGGCAGACTGTAAACTCAGTAGGATGTGAACCAGTTAAGACGGGAGGCGGGTGAAACAGGTGGAGAGAGACTAATGCGAGATCACCTCGGTGGGGGTCGGGGGAGGAAACACACTCAGAGTTATGGGTGAGGGAGCCATGTGGGTGGGTGTCACGCCCATCTGCGTCCCTTCCTCCCGCCTCTGTCCCTACGTCCAGGTCCACAGGCCTGCGATCAGGCATCGCTTGGTGTGTCCTGCCTCCTCCCTCTGTGGCCCTGCCTGTCCTCTGTCCTCCCCTATATGCTGTCCCTAGATCCCTGTCTGAGTTCCGGGCCCTGTGAATCCCGAGCTGTTGGTCACTTGGTGGGGCCTCGGAAAGAGCACTCACAGCCCCGACGCTCATGCCGCCTTCAGGTCTGTGTCTGACCCACCCAACGACCCCTGGGCCGCCCCACAGGATCAATAGGAGGCTCTGACCCCCTCAGATCCCAGTGGGCAGGTGTGAGGGCTGCTCCCAAGCCAAAGAGCCGCCGGAATCCGGGAGCCGGGCGGGGAGGGGGCGGCAGGCTGGGCCAGGCTGCCCGGGCCGCCTCATCGCCCGGAGTTCTCGGCTCTGGGCAGGTGCAGGGACAGGAGGGCCTCCCCACCAGGCTTCAGTTCCACCAAGAGTCCCGACGCCCTCGCCTCCCAGACCCCAGGGGACCTCGCTTTGGGAAGCAGCATTGGAAGGAGGCTGGAAGGACAGGTCAGAGTTCAGCCGGCCCCGAGGGATGACGGTGGAACCTTTGAAACTGAGAGCAGAGCAAACAGCAGGGCAAGGAGCCCGGGGCAGGGGCATGTCTGGGTGGGTGTGCAGGAGGCAGAGAACCTGTGGGTCAGGGACTCCAGAGAGACTTTGGCTGGAGATAAAACAGGGCTTCGCTGACAGGGCTCCTGCAGCCTGGAGGAGGGCCATGGACTTGCCCTGGGGGAAACAGCCGCGTGTAGGGGGTGAGAGGACCCACCGCACCCGAGCCCCAGCGTCCCCAATAGCCAGACACTCCTAACGTCACTGTTTCCTGTGCCCACCCGCCCGCCTTCGCCTGCATGTTCTCCCCTGATTGCCCTTTCTGTCCCTCTCCTCCAGGCAAACGTGTTATTCTCCACTTAAGATCCCAGTTTGAATGCCTCCTCCTCCAAGCAGCTTTCCCTGCCTCCCTTAGGTAAAACCTTCTCCTCCTAGGCATCTCTCCCCACACCCCCAGCCTCATCCCTGACTGGGCTTGGCACACAGTAGGTGCTCAACACAGTAGGTGCACACAGTAGGTGCTCTGGCTTTAGAGACCTCTAACCACCCGCCTCCCACCCACATCCAGCCAAGCCTGCAGGGTGGCCGCTCACAGGGCCCCTTGTTCTTGTGGCTCTTCCAGAGTTCTCAGCTCCGGGCCGGAGGGGGCAGGGCTGGACCTCCCTCCCGACAAGCAACGAGGTGCACCACGTGGGCCCCCGGCCTCTACCAATCCCTGAGACTGGCCACCCAACAAACCCCCCTGGGGAGGAGCGTCTTAGGGCAATAAGTGACCAGGAGGGGGGAATACCTGGGCGAGGGCAGATGACCCAGAAGAGGCCCCGCAGTGGGCAGGACCAGGGCAACGAGGTATCCGCAGGAGGCTGCCAGGGGACTGGCCCTCCCCTGCCCGGGCTCAGGCCTCAGCCGGTGCCATCACTCAGTCTCTGACCGGGCCTGGACATCGAAGGGTCCCCCAGGCCCAGCCACCCCCGGGCCCCAGGCCAGGCCAGGCCAGGCCAGGCCGGGACTCTTCGCTGCCAACCCCTCGCCTTCTGGTTCACATTTGCAGCCTTTTCCGGAGCGCCACCCGCCGCCCGCTGCCTCCCGCGCCTGCCAAGATTCCTGGGCCTCCGTGGCTTCCCCGCGGCCGGGCAGGGAAGGGGCCCGCGGGAGCACCGCCAGGCCACTGCACCCGGCAGGCCAAGCAAACACAGGCCCCGCCAAGGAGCCGGGAGAAATAGCTCACAAATGAGAAAAAGCTGCTTCCGAGTTGGGCCGAGGTTCTAAAGCCCCGGCCGCAGGGAGCTGAGGTCACCTGCGAGGGCCGCCTGCCGGACAGCCGGGCCGGGAGGGGCTCCCGCGCAGCAGGGGGAGCAGGCCTGGGCCGCGGCCTCCCCCGCCGGGGGTGTTCCTGCCCGAGGCCCCCCTCTGGCTTACCTTTCAGGTGGAGGGGCCTCTGAGGTCCCAGCAGAGGCGAGGCCTGCGGAGGAAAGAGAGAGACAGTGAGGAAGGTGCCAGGGCCCGGAAGCCTCCTGCCCTAGCTCACAGCCCCCGCGGTGCCCGCCCTGGGCTGGCACCAGCAGCCCCTGCCGGAACACTGGCCCCGGCCTCAGTCTCTCTCCGCAGGACGCCAGGGGTGACTCCCTCCATTCATGTCCTGCATGCTTATCCGTGTCCACGGGGAGCCCGGCCTTGACTTGACGGAGTTCCTCCTGGCCCAGGCCCAGGCTGAAGGAGCCCCTTCTGGCCCCGGCCAGTTTGGCTCCCTGGGTAGAGCGTCAGCCTGCGGACTGAAGGGTCCCAGGTTCCAGGTTTGATTCTGGTCAAGGGCATGTATGTACCTTGGTTGCAGGCACATCCCCAGTGGGGGGGGGGGGGGGGTGCAGGAGGCAGCTGATGGATACTTCTCTCTCATCGATGTTTCTTCTTTTTTTTTTTTAATATATCTTATTGATTTTTATACAGAGAGAAAGGGAGAGAAATAGAGAGTTAGAAACATCGATGAGAGTCATCGATCAGCTGCCTCTATGCCCGCAACCAAGGTACATGCCCTTGACTGGAATCGAACCCGGGACCCTTCAGTCCCCAAGCAGACGCTCTATCCATTGAGCCAAACCGGTACCGGCTCTCATCGATGTTTCTAACTCTCCCTATCCCTTCCTCTCTGTAAAAAAAAATCAATAAAATATATTTTAAAATAAAAATAAAAATAAAAAGCCCCTCCTGTGTGCCAGCTTTCATGCTAGAGAAATCCCTACTACCCTGTTTCCCCGAAAATAAGACAGTGTCTTATATTAATTTTTTTCTCCCAAAGTTGCTCTAGGTCTTATTTTCAGGGGATGTCTTATCTTTCCATGAGCTAGGTCTTATTTTCGGAGGATGTCTTATTTTCGGGGAAACACGGTAGGTACCGGGTCCTGGGCTGGGGTGTCCCTCCACAAGCTAGGTTTCCTGCCTGGAGGAGCTCCTTCTGTGTGGGGGACCCTCGGCTGGGCTTTGGGACACAGAAATGGCCCGGCCCAGGCCCCGTCCTGCCCTGATTTAGCTGGAAGCGTCAGACAAGTGGCCACCACACAGCTGGCGATGGTCTCTGGGCTGTGGGGACACAGAGCGGGGAACGTGGCCTCCCCTCTGAGTTCCCCCAACAGGATCCGTGTGGGAGGGACACCAGAGCTGGGTCCTGAGGGGTGAGGAGGGGCCTGAAAGGCAGACAACGTCAGAAAAGGAGTTTCTGGCAGTAGGAAGCTGCTCGGCTGATCCGGGGAAGATCCCGAAGTGCTGAGGGGTTGAAAGGACAAGCAGGAGCCCAGAAAGGTGAGGCAACCTCATGAGGAGCCTCGAATGCCGTGCTTGTGTTCCTGTGGCAGGCAATGGGGAGCCACGGAGGGTTGTTGAGCAGGGAGGTGATACAGTCAGGACCCTGAATAGCCAGGCCCCCGTTTCTGCCTCGATCAGCCATGAGGCCAGGCGGGTGCCAGCCCTAGTCCAGGTCACTCAGCTGTCCACGGGGGAGCGGAGGCCACAGGCCAGGGCCAGGTGTAGCCCTCGGGCGGATGGGGAGGGAACTCCCAGCCAGCCCACCTGGCAGAAGACCTACCGGCCGCGTCACTCTCTCCCTCAGCTGCTCGCTCGCCTCTGCCTGCTCCCATGGAAACTCTGACACCCTGGCCCCGCCTCTCACTGCACAGGCCGCCAGACGCTAAGGCCTTCCCTCCTGCCCAGCTGAGCCTGCCCCCATCCCTACCACCCTGAACACCGTGACCGTGGCCGCACAGGTAGGTCTGAGGGCCCGGTCTGGCTGACGGAGCTGGGTGGGAGGTCCCACTGCCCAACTGAACCCCAGCTGCTCTGGCCCCCGCCCCCACCCCACCATGAAGCTTGGGGAGGGAAAGTGGCATATTGGGTCTGGGTTTTTTTTTTTTAGAAATAAACATGGATTTAACTGCGTGACGACAAGGAGAGGCAATCAGTCCAGGCCGTGGAGACAGCGTGCGTGAGGGTTTGGAGGTGTGAAAGCTCAGGCTGGAAATAAAACATAAATAAATGAACTAACCAAACACAGCTAACATCGACTGTGCGTCTGCTACATGCCAAGCGCTGTCCCGGGATCTCCCAGGGCTGAGCTCAGCGTCCTCACCACAATCCGGAGCAGCAGCAGCTTTGCTCTCCCTTCCCCCGGAGGCAGGCATCGGCACAGAGAGGCTAAGTCACTGGCCCAGGGGCACACCGCTCACGAGGGGTAGAGTCTGGCTCTGAACTTAGGCTGTTGACCCCAAAGCTTGGGTTGTTCACTTCTCCGCTAGAGGGGTGATCTGAGACGAGAAGGGCGGGCTGGGGTCGGCCTGAGAAATGCCTTGAACATCAAGATGAGAGAGCCGAGCCGAAACCGGTTTGGCTCAGTGGTAGAGCGTCAGTCTGCGGACTGAAAAGTCCCAGGTTCGATTCCGGGCAAGGGCATGCAAATCGGTTGTGGGCACATCCCTGGTGTGCAAGAGGCAGCTGGTCAATGTTTCTCTCTCATCGACGTTTCTAGCTCTCTATCTCTCTCCCTTCCTCTCTGTAAAAAATCAATAAAATTATATATATAAATTTTTTTTTAAAGATGAGAGAGCCAGGGCCCAGCTTGCAGCAGCTGGCTGCCCACACCCTCCGCCCACGTTAGCCCTTTGAACCCCAAGTACATGCTATGTCCCAGACACAGCACTCGGCACGCTCCGGCGTCCTCTCACCGCACGCTCCCACGCCCAGGTAAGGCAGGAGTCGCTGTCCTCTTTTCCGAGGAGCAGATGACAGGACTCGGTGGCACTGGGGCTTGCCCAGCCCCCAACATGGCCAAACCCCGTGCCCTCGGGCTTCCCGGAGACCTCTCAGGCTTCTCCACCCCCACCGGCGCTGCCTCAGCCAGACGGCCACACGGCCCTCCAGGCGGGCACAGCTCCATCGAGGGCTTCAGGGGCCGCTCCAGGGACCAAGGTTCCCTCCTCGGTCCCACTCAGCAGGAAGCTGGCGCGGGTTAGTGGGCCAGGGCCGTGCCTGAGCCGACGTCAATGCGACTCTGTTCCTAACCTTCACCCCCGGCGGCCTTCCCTAATCTCCTCCGTGAGCCTCTCCCCTGGCGATATCTCCTCCTTGCACAGAGCCTGCCACCAGCTAAATCCCAGGCCAGATGGAGGTGGGGGGGGACAGTATGCACCCCCAGCCCCACCAGCTTCTAAGAGCTGCAGGGCTCCCAGGGCGGAGGGGCAGTGCCCCAGTCCCCCTTCCTGCTCCCACCTCTCCAAGCTGAGGTGCCAATGGCCCTGAGCATAGTCGCCTGTCCCAGAGACGGGCTCCTGGGCGAGGTCCCCACCTTCTGAGCCTCCACTGGGGCGGGCCCTGGGCTGTCCGGCCTTACAAATCGCAGGATGGGTGAAGAGCCATCTGCTCCAGCCCCACCTCTAACCAGCACGTGGCCTCACTCATCTAGGCCTCAGCTTCTCAGTGCCTTTGTGAGGATTAAAGGAGCTGACTTCCTATGGTGAACTTCAAGCAGTGCTTGACATAAAGGAGCCGTTAATAAATAAATACGAGCCGTTCACTCGTATTACATTACTGTACCCCCGTGACACCTCCCCCAGCCCTGTGTGGTCGGATGATAACCCCTCTTGTACCGCTGAAGAAACCGAGGCTCAGAGAGAAGTCACCCCCAAGTTCGCCCAGGTAGCCAGTGGTGGGCGGTCCCAGGGTTTGGACCCCAGCTGGGAGTCCACAGAGGACCCACGGATAGTGGGGGACACCCCCCCCCCCCCGCTCCCCGGAGCGGAGGCATAGTGTGCCTGGGGGTGGGGCTGAGTGAGGGTGAGGGTGAGGGTCCTCCACACGCCCTCAGCCCCTCTGGCCTCCCCCTCTGGGCTCCCCCACCCTCGCCCCTGCTGCCGCTGCAGGAGGGCGCTGTGCATTCCTGGCTGAGCGGGGATTTGCTGCGCTCCCGGAACTATGAGAAGAATGTCTGCCACGAGCTGAGCTACGCCGGGGTCGCCTGTCAGCGGGCACATGGCCTGAAGGGCTCCCGCAGAGCTGCCGGGCGGCCGGGAGGGAGGACAGAAAACCCCTGGGTATTGAGGGCCGTGATGTTAGAGGTGGAGAGACCCCCCGAGACCTTTCAGGGGAGGAGAAAGGGCCCCTCCACCCCACCATCCCCGCTCTCCTCACCCCAGGCTCTATGGGGAGCCAGGATGGCCTCACTGGCCCAGCGCACAGGCTGCGGAGACCCAGCGTCACCTGAGGTTACAGGAAGGAGGCCAGGGCCCCTTCCTCCAGAGGAGGCCTCCCTCCCGGGGCCGCGGGGACAGGGCCTCACCCGCGCTGTTCTGGGCTCCCTCTGGGCCCGGCCTTCTCGTGCCTGCTGTTCCCCCAGGTCCTCCTCCCCAGAGCAGCCCCTGCGCTAGGAGAAGGCGCGGTGCTCTGTGCCCGCTCCCCAGCTGGGCTTCCTCGCCTTCCCCACTGGGCAGGGCGCAGTGGGAAGAACGTGGGCTGTGCGTGCTCACAGACCTCAGCACGGTGACACTTGGCCAGTGACCAGCCTCTGAGAGCCTCCACTTCGCCCTCTGTTACATGGTCACCGCGCCCTGCAGCACGGTTACCAGGACTACATGACACCGGGACCTGGCACACCATCGGTGCCCAACAAACTTTTTTTTTAAATATATTTTATTGATTTTTTACAGAGAGGAAGGGAGGGGGATAGAGAGCTTGAAACATCGATGAGAGAGAAACATTGACCAGCTGCCTCTTGCACACCCCCTACCGGGGATGTGCCCGCAACCAATGTACATGCCCTTGGCCAGAATCGAACCTGGGACCTTTCAGTCCGCAGGCCGACGCTCTATCCACTGAGCCAAACCGGTTTTGGCCCAATTGACTCTTGTTGGTCCCCTCCCGCAATGGGACGGAGAAGAACTGAAATTAGGGAACTTCAGGCGACAAGGTTCCCTCCACCCCAAGTGTTGAGGGGGCGGGGATGGGAGGCGCTCTGGGAGGAAGGGAGCCCCGAGCCCAGGGTCCTGGTCTCTGGTCTCAGTCCTCCCACTGGCTGCGAGTGATCCCAGGCAGGTTCCTCTCTGAGTCTCTATGAGCCCATCCGGGAAGTGAGTCCCGTTCTCCCGGGAGGCACCAGCCCGCTGCCACCCCTTCTCCTGCCCTCCAAGAGCCAGGACCCGTCGCCCGTCCAGGTTACATGGGGAGAGCCACCTCCCACTTAAACTCTTTCCTAGTCCCTCCCCAGGATCGCACCGGAGTGTGTAACACACCGATCAGAAGTCTGGGTGAAAGGGCTGCACCCCCATCACTGCGTGAGCTGGGACCCTCCTCACCCCTCTGCAGGCAAAATGACCGTAGATACAAGTAATAGCATCCCATTCGGTAGGTGGGGAAACTGAGGCGCGAGGCTGAAAAGTCTCTTACCCAGGGTCACAGGAAAAGTAACCCCAGCCTGTCTGGCTCCCACGGCCTCTCTTCCCCTCACAGTATGTACCGCCTTCACTCAAGGCCCACTGTCCACACACCACACCCTGCAAATGCCCCCAGAACAGAGTCTGGGATTCCCTATTGGCGTGTGACCTCCCCAGCTGATGTCCGGGCAATCATGTGTATGCCCGTGCCCTCCCACTCACTCCCACTTGGGCTTCCGTACACACCCCAGGCCCCCCAGACACTACTCCCCGCCCCAACTCATGGCCACACTCAACACTCAGACCCCTGCCTCCATGTCTCCCCTTCACCCTCTTCCTCTGGGGACAGCCTACAGTCACCCCAGGCAAAGCTCCTGGCCTGTCCTCCGTTCACCCCGCCAGCCAGTCACTGAGGCCAGTCTAGTCTCTCTTCTTACTCTCCATCTCTTCCTTCCTCTCATTCCCATGGCAACCACCCCTTCCTCCCAGGACAACAGTCTCCTTGACTATAAGATCCCCCTTTGTCGTTGACCCCCAAAGAAACCAGGGTGATAGCCAGATTGAACCACTCTGCGGTTCACATCCTTTCTCTGGACACGCCCTCTGGAAACCTGACCTCGAAGCAGTGGTCAGTCCCTCTCACTCACGCCCCCATGTCTGAGCCAACGGCAGCTCACTGCCCCTGAGAGGACTCCGCAGCTTCCACCTCCGCGCCTTTGCACACGCTGTTCCCTCTGACCGGAACGCCCTCCCCTCACCCCGTCCACCCCCTGCACCTGTCAGAGCTCTCCTTCTCGAAAGCTCGACCCAGCTGCTGCCTCCCTGACCACCCCTCCCTCCCACACTCGGTCCTGCATGGTGCACCTGGACGGACACCCTGAGACACAGCTGCACCCCACATGAGAGGTCGCTGTGCCCCAGTTCTTCCACCCCAACTTCCAAGTGCCTCTGGCCACAGACGGGACCAGTTCATCTGAGGACCCACTTCCTACTAGGGAAGCCCTAGGCCTGCCCGGAGGGTAGGGGGCTGAGGTGGTGGAGCAGCAGGGCAGGCAGCTGGGGTCCCGCCCATGTCTGGTCTGGCTCAGGCCCCGGGCAGGGGTGGGAGTGGGGGTGCTCAGGCTGACAGCCTGTTTGGTATCTTTCCCTTCTCTCTTGCTCGCAGATACATTCGCTTCCATTTTTTCTCTCCCCTTCCTCTGAGCCAAAGAGCGGAAGCACTTATTTTCTCTGTGGTAGACAATGTGAAACCGGAGAGAGCCCCTGGCGAGCGTGTCTGAGTGTGAGTGTGAGCGAGGGTGTGTGCGTGTGTTGTCCCGTCTGTGTGTGTCTGGCGGGGCTGTGCGGGCTGCTGTGAGTCTGCAGGAGTCTGGGTGTGTGCATGTATGTGCACATGCCCCGTTGTTGTTTCAGTGCCTTTGGTGGAGTGTTTCAGTAGAGCATGTTCACGTGTGTGATGGTGTGTGACTGTCAGTGGGAGGGAGTGTAGCTGTGCGTGTCTGTGTATGCCTGGTGCGTCCGCACTATCGTTGAGGGGTGATTGTGTGTCCAAGGGTCCGTGGGGACATCTTCCCCTAACAGAGACCACGACTCCCCAGGGTGCCTCCTCAGCCCCCCCTCCTCCCCTGGGCTCAGGACAGGGGGTCCGTTCCCAGAGAGGGACCCCAGGTTGCCTGCCCTCCAGCCACCTCAGCCCGTCGGCCCCAGACCTTCCATGTGCCCACAGCTCCCGGGAGGCTGGGGCTCTCCGAGCGGCCACCAAACACGGCGCAGGCCGGGCCCCAGGCACCCCGGCAGGCCAGGCGGGAGGAAGGAGGTGAGGATTGCCAGGGTCCCCCTGAGGGAGGTCAGCAGCACTTCCGTGCCAGGAGCCCAGCATGCTCTCACACACACCGAGGGTCTCACACACTTACCGACATGCTCATTGAGAACATCCTGGCAGACACTCACTGTCCCCCCCACCCCTCAGTGCACACACTGACAGGCCCACAGGCAGAAACACACACACACACACACACACACACACACACACACGCGCACACCAAGCAGACTTGGGGCGCCTGCCTGTCCCCAGCTCACAACTCCTGGGCTCCTAGGACTGAACAGCATTTCTCCGTCCAAGGACTCCTAGGGCCACTGTGCTTCCAGCCCAAGACAGACACATTGGGGGGCTGTTCTGGGGCCATGGGCCCCCGCCTCTGGGCTGGCAGTGGCCCCCTCACCCCTGCAGTCCGCCTGGGGCTGGGGGGGCGCTGAGCCTGGGGCAGGGACATCCCGCAGGAGCTGCCTCCTGTTGGGGGAGGTGCTGCCAGGACACCTAGAACAGGAGGGACGCGGGGACAGGAGCTGAAAGACGGGAACGGAGAGGTGGCCAAGGCAGAGCGAGGGGAGGGCGGGCCAGGGACTTCCTGCCCACTGGGGGCGCTCTAAGGCCCCTCGCCACCCTCTCCTCCACCTGGCGAGGGAGGCTTTGTCACCCCGTCCTCAGGTGGGAAGAGGTGACAGGCTCAGAGTCGGGGACCCCACCGGCGCGTCTGGCGGTGGACCCCGCTTCTGGGAGGGGGGAGGGCGGAGGGGCCGTATCAGGGTCCTGCCGGGCAGCTCCGGGGGGGAAGGGGCGCAGGGACCTGGGTGGCTCCGGTCCGGTCCCCATCCAGACCCATCCCCACCCAGCGCCCCAGAGGCGCCAGCCCGGCCGCCGGACAGCCCGGGGAGGCACGGGCTGGTCTCCGCCGGGAGCCCCGAGACCCGGCAGCCGTTACCTGCAGGGCCGCCCGCCGCTCCGGACGGAGGGCAGCCGGGCGGCTCCGCGGAGGGCGTCGTCGGGGTCCGCGCCGGCGGGGCTCCGCGTCGCTCTGCGGCCGCCCCGCGGCTCGGAGTGGGCGGGCGGGCGGCGGGGTGGGGGAGGCCGGCGGCGGGAGGGGCGGCGGGCGGGGCCTCCGCCCTCCTCTTTCCACAGCCGCGGCCAAGGCCCGCGCCCGCCTGGCCCGGCACCGGCGGCCTCGAAGTCAGCCTCCCTCCCGAGACCCATCTGGGACACCCCCCAGCCGCACCCCAGGCAGCTGGTCCCCCAGTCACCCACCCCGTGCCCACGGCCCCGTGCCCTCAAGAACCGGGACCGCCGAAACCGGTTTGGCTCAGTGGCCTGCGGACTGAATGGTCCCGGGTTCGATTCCGGTCAAGGACATGTACCTTGGCTGTGGGCACATCCCCGGTGGGGGTTGTGCAGGAGGCAGCTGATTGATGATTCTCTCTCATCGATGTTTCTAACTCTCTATCCCTCTCTCTTCCTCTCTGTAAAAACTCAATGAAATATATTTTTTAGAAAGAAAGAAAGAAAGGAAGGAAGGAAGGAAGGAGGGAGGGAGGGAGGGAGGGAGGGAGGGAGAGAGAGAGAGAGAGAGAGAGAGAGGGAGGGAGGGAGGGAGGGAGGGAGGGAGGGAGGGAGGGAGGGAGGAAGGAAGGAAGGAAGGAAGGAAGGAAGGAAGGAAGGAAGGAAGGAAGGAAGGACGAACGAACCAGGAGGACACAGAAGGGCGCTGAGCAGGGCGTGGGGTGCTCGGGCCGGAAGGGGAGCCCCCGGTTGTGGCCCATCAGGGAGCAGTCACAGCAGGCTCCCTGCAAAGGTGACTGGGCTGAGGGAGGGGGACCCCCTGGGGAAAGGGAGGCGGCGGCTGTGATTGGCACGTTGGGGTTCAGGGAGGTGAGCCTGCGCTCAGGCAGGCCAGGGCTGGAGGCCGCACGATCTTGTCGGCCATGTGCAGCTGTTAGGCTTCACCCTCAGGAAAATGGGAGCTGCAGAAAACTTCGTAGCAGCTCAGCTTTAGAAAGACCCAGCTCAGCCAGCATGGCTCGGTGGTTAAGCATCAGCCTACGAACCAGGAGGTCACAGTTGGATTCCCAGTCAGGGCACATGTCGGCGTTTTAGGCTCCATCCCCAGTAGGGGGCGTGCAGGAGGCAGCCAATCCATGATTCTCTTTCATCATTGATGTTCCTATCTCCCTCTTCCTCTTCCTCTCCCTCTCTGAAGTCAATAAAAATATATTTTTTATTTTATTTTATTAAATATATTTTTTAAAAGAAAAGAAAGAGCCCCCTGACTTCAGTGTGGGAGAAGATGGGGCTGCTGGAATAATCCTGACTGGTCCAGGGAGGCGGGGCCAGAGGGAGGGGTCCAGTGTGAGAGGAGTTAAGAAGGGGGAAGGGGCAGGATTGGAGTGTGGGGTGAGGGACCTAGTAAAAGGAGGCAGGAGGACAGTGCCCAGGCTCCTGCTTGGCAGTGGGGAAGGGCGGACCAGGAGGAGGGTGCTAGGATGCGTTGAGCTGGAGGTCCCTGTGGGACTTGCATGTAGCCATGAGGAAAGTGAGGCTTCTGGGCTAGAGGTAGGAATTGGTGCTGTAAGATGGCGACGGATGCCCTGAGGGCAGTGCCAGGGAAGGAGCGCAGGGAGAAGAGGAAGCCCAGGCCAGTAGGTGGGCACCACCAACATCCAAAGGAAGAAGATCAGCAGAGCAGACCGAGAAGGTGCTGCTGGGAAGGAACCGGAAGTTGACAGAGGCAGGTGTTGCTAGGGCCAGGACGGCCCCCAGGGTCAGGGTCACAGAAGAGGTCCTTTGGGACCGGCCATGAGGGACTGGAGGGAGGCAGGGGCAGGAGCGAGGGGACCAGTCACAGGGATGGACGTGAGGCAGTGAGTGCAGTGGGGGGTCTAGAGGAACTGAGGCCAGGAGAAGGGGGGTGGGAGTGGGGTGTGTGCACACACCACACGTCCAGAAAAGGAGCAGGGAAGGCCCAAGGCTGTTGTCTCTGGGTCTGAGCCTACCTCCCTTGCCCTCGGAGGGCCTCCCACTTTGCTGTCCCCCTGCCAAGGTACACACCAGTCCCACCACTCCTCAGCGGGGCCTCTGGCCCTCGCCCACCTCCGGAACCTGGGCCCATTCCTGCCCACCCCTCAGAGTGGGGGGATAGAAAGGGGTCTGGGGTCTGGCCTGAGCCAGCCCAGAGGCACTACAGGGAGCCAGGAGGGGACACTGCCTGAGGAAGGGGAGGGACCTGGCTGCCAGGTACTAAGAGGACAGGGGCTGGTGTGAAAACCAGGCCCTGAAGGGCGTCACATGGGGGTTGAATGCTCAGGAAGGGGCGGGACCTAAGGCCACAGACTGAAGGTTGATAGTGTGGACTCCAGTTAGAGGGCTCGGGCTCCAGTCCAAGAACCCACACTGCATGCCCTTGAACAAGTTACCTACCGCCGGAGCCTCCGTTTCGCATCTGGAAAGCCCTTCTAGGCTTGTCGTGAGGATCAAATCCACGAATCCACACAGAGCCATCAGCTCTGAGGCGAGCTGTTCTCGGGAAGGGGCGGGGAGCTCGGCGAAGGGGAGGTGCTGGAGCCAGCAGGCAGGCAGGCGAGGGGTGCGCTGTGCTGAGGAGGGGGCTCCCCCAGGCTCCGCACACAGACACGCAGACATCCTCAGCCAGTCCCCTACGTCCTCACCCTCGTTTCTCCTGACTCACTTCATACATCTCCCTGAGGCCCCTGGCCTGGGTCTAGGTGGTACACACCCTCCCCAGCCCCTCCCTTGTCTTTCCCCGGCCGAATGCCCGGCAGGGGCCCAGGGCTCCAGCTCCTTCTCCTTTCCACCAGCCTAGGAGGCCTGACACGTCATCCTGTGGCCTGGGGTTCCCTGGACCCTCCAGGTGAGCCTCAGCCGCCCATCCTCCAGCAGAGGCTGACACACGCCCGCCCTGACCCCCGCAGCTGCCCCTGCAGCAAACCTCAAGGCAGGAAATGCGTGTCCTGGAGCCACAGTCTGAAGCCTCTCCCACCCAGGCTTACCCCGGCTCAGCCAGCCCAGACTCCCAGGCAGCTCCATCGCACGTGCCAGGGGCTTCCGCCCTCGGCCTGTCTCTGGTGGGGCCTGGGTTTCAAGGGGCAGGACTTGTCTGTGGTTCCCTGCTGTGTGGCCCTGGACTAGCGTCTGCACCTCTCTGGGCTTCCGTTCCCTCAGCCACAGGAATCAGAGGCATTCCATGGGGAGGGGGTGACGCTGAACCAAATGAGGCAGGCAACCTGCTCATGCAGCCCCTGCCCAGCCGGCGCTGGCACCTGCCCGGTGGTTCCGCGCATGAACTGAGGAGTCAAGCCGACCAGGGTTTGGACCCGAGTTCTGTCTCCCTGTGGGCAAGTGACTGCCTTTCTCCAAACCTCACATGCCTCCTCTTTAGAAGGGGGATAATGACAGTCCTTAGTGACAACAGCTGAGCCGCGCAGGGCTCCTACTCGGGCACTCGTCGGAGCACTTTACGTAAATGAATTCACTTAACACTCACTACAGCCCTTGGCATTGACGTTATGATTGTCCTCACTTTGCAGATGGGAAAACTGAGCACAGGCAGGTGAACTGACTCGCCCCCGTCCACAGAGCCAGGAAGTGGGTAATCTGGGAATCCGGGCAGGCTGGCTCCCTTGTCTACCTCTTCCCACGGTGCCATCAGGCCTCTGAGAAGAGACGGCAGCCATGGCCGGGTTGGCTTGGTGGACTGGAAGGTCTTAGGTTTGATTGCAGGCTTGATCCCTGGCTGTGGTCAGGGCACGTGCGGGAGGAAACCAATTGATGTGTCTTTCTCACATTAATGTTCCTCTCTTCTGTCTCTTCCCTCCCTTCCACTCAAAAGAAGAAGGAGGAGGAGGAGGAGGAGGAGGAGGAGGAGGAGGAGAAGAAGAAGAAGAAGAAGAAGAAGAAGAAGAAGAAGAAGAAGAAGAAGAAGAAGGAGGAGGAGGAGGAGGAGGAGAAACTATCCTCAGATGAGGATTAACAACAAAAGAGACAGTGAATAAAAGGGCTTAACACAAGACTGGCACACAGGAACGACTAAATAATTGTCATCACTACCACAACCCTCCCACTCCTTCTCAATTTCTTCATTTGGAGTTTCTTTTTGTTGTTGTTTTATTGATTTTAGAAAAAGGGAGGGGGGGAGAGAGAGAGAGAGAGAGAGAGAGAGAGATTGATTTGTTGTTCCACTTACTTATACATTTATTGATTTATTGGTTGATTCTTTTATGTGCCCTTTCTAGAGATTGAACCCACAACCTTGGTGTATTGGGATAACACGCTAACTAACTGAGCTACCTGGCTTTCAGCTTCTATCTTGATCTGTGGAAATAGGAGAATTCTGGGTTCCAGCCACCCTACCCTGGGTTGGAGCCTGTGGAGGGCCTGGATGGCATCTTCCTCTTGCCACCTCTCACCTGCCTAGCAAGCTGAGGGGAGGGAGGGGTGTTTGCACACGTGTGTGGCCAGGGGTGTGCAAACCCGTGGGGGCGGTGCTGATAAACCTGCTCCCCCAGGCCCTGCTAACACTGCACCCCCCACCCCACCCTGGCTGCCCACGTCTGCCGGAGGACCAGCCTCCTGGCTCTTCAGGTCCTGGGAAGTCCTTCCCCCGGCTAGCCCTCCTTCCTTCTTCATGGTCGCCAGAGGCCTCACACACAGGACCAGAGGAATGAGGACTGCCCCCTGCAGCCCCCCTCTCCTCACGTCCACCCCAGGGCACTGCTCAGCTCCATCCTCAAAAATCCCAGTAATGCAGTAGAAATTAGAGTTACCTTAAATAGTCTAATCTTGTAACAACTTTGCCTCAATCAGCATCTAAATGTGACCACATGTGCCCAGACCACCCAGCAGCCTGGCTGGCGGTTTGGGGGGTGGTCGGGACCTCGCTGGGGGAGAGGTCTGCAGGTCACAGGGTCCCTCCCTCTGCTTTCTCTTGACCTGCCCACACTGAGCCATCCTCCCCCTTCCTCACCTTTGCCGGGCGGCCAGGAAGCGCGGCAGGCCAGGGGGTCCACCCTCCCTCCCACACAGCTGGCGGAGGCAGGGAGGT